CTGATTATTACTAGTCACAGTTGGTTACTTTCTGAGCTCCTTGGCATCTGAGCATGGATATAAAGTCATCAGGTAGATTTCAGTGGTAATGTTTTTCACATCTACTAATTATTAAGGAGCAGATTTTTATGCTTTGAAGAATTTTTTTTGTAATTTATACACCCACTTCCCAGGTAGCACTTTCCCATAGCCTCCCTCCCCCGACTAGAGCCCTTATACTCAGATATCAATGCTACTCTCTGCTGTGTTGTCAGCACCCCAGCCATTCCCCACTACTTGCCCTTCTGGTGAATCTAGTCAGCCTATCTAGAGGTCTTTGTTTTAGGAGGGTCAGCTGTTCCTCATCTAGCAATAATCAGTTGTCAATATTCCTTCGGATAAGATTGGGGTCTGCTGTTCAATATCCCAGTTCTATGATGGGTTACTATCTGGGAATCCCTTTGGCCACCCTGGCCAACAACTCAAAAGTAGGTATCGCCTGTCTGGCATTGCTTCTTACGTAGCCTTTAGCTATACATATGGACTCTTAAGAAATTATATTGGCCCCTTTAATCTTTGGTTATACTTTCCTTTTGGGTGTTTAAGGCCGTACAGTTGGTCCAGATAAACCGATTTATTTTTACTCTTAAGGTCGTTTGAGGATCTGTTCCTCAGGGGTCACATGAGTTTGGGAGGAGCCCCTGGATCCTTTCTTTTACCAGTTCTGCCTATGTGAAGAGAGTTAAAAGATCCTGCTCTACCATGGTTGGCTTCACTTGGAAGCATGGAGGAAACGATTCCTCTGTGTTGACCCTCCTCTTTATAGACTGGACACCAGTTCAAGTCGATCTGGTGGAGTATCCACAGCCTCCTTGATCAAGAGGACAGGTGACCCACCACCATTAACTAGTTGACCTAGGAGGGCAAGGAGCAAAAAGTGTCCTTTATGTCCCTCTGACCAAATTATTATAGACCTCAGAGTATGTCTGTTAAACACCCAAGAAGATTAGTTCCACCAGTCTGGTACTTTTAATTACTGTGTGTCATGTAGATAAATCCTAGGCAAAGACCAATTGTTCTCAGATAAACCTTACCTAGAGATATATTTCTTGATCTGCTATGTATAATTTGTCAGTACATTGTAGGAGTAACATGGTTCTCTCTGGTTTTCAAAACTAGCTACGCATTGCTTATCTCTGGGTTAAGAGACTAGATTTTCCTTTTTTAATTTAAAATATTTTGTTATTTTCTTTCATGTGCATGAGTGTATTGCCTGCATGTATGTAAGTGCACTCCTGTTGTGCAAAGGTCAGATGAGGGCACCAGATTCCCTGAAACTGGAGTTAAGGATGGTTTTTTGCTACCATGTGGGTGCTGGGAACCAAACCCAGGTCCTTTGGAAGAGCAGCCAGTGCTCTTAACTGCTGAACTGCCTCTCCAGCCCCAAGAGACTGAATTTTTAGAAGAGGCATTGAACTTTTAAAGTGTTGAAAAATTTAAAGCCTGTGGAACTTAAAAGTTGTATAACAGTTTCTAGTTCTATCCATTTACCTGCAAATTTCATGATTTCATTTCTTTTTTTAAAAAAACATCACAGAAAAAAAGAAACACCATAAAATGTTTATTTTTGTTTAATGTTTTCTATAATCAAAACAAGGATATGATGTTATGATCAAAGTATCTCATCTAACAAATTTTGTTCACAAATAATGTCTTTAGAAAGACACATATACTATTTAGCAACTGTCAAGGAGAAGGGTAGAAACAGGAAAGTATAGTATAGAATTAATTTTAAGATACTGGGCATAGGTTACCTAGATGGATAACCTACAATGATTAAAAAACACCAGACTTGACAGTGCACACCTTTAATCCTAGCACTTGGGATGCAAAGGGAGGCTTATCTCTGTGAGATTGAGATCAGCTTAATATACATAGTGAATTCCAAGCTAGCTGGGGCTGCAGGGGAGGCTCTGTCTCAAAAAGACAATAAAATGAGCAATTCCATTTTAAAATCTCTTTTGGTCACAGAAATTTGTCTACTAGTCATGATTCCTTTCTCATGAATGTGAGTGAACATACATTCTAAAAATTGCCTTGTCTATTCCCCTTTGAAAACAAAGGATGTTGTTGGTCTGTGGTATTTTTCAAACCAAGATGAAAATTATAAAATATAGAGGAAAAAGTTTTCATCTTTACTTGAAATACGACAAGGTCCTATGCCATTTATTATCTTCCAGAAATTTTCTATTGATTCTAATATTAAAGATTTTATTTTGCTTTGCTTTTTCTTGATATCTTTCTGTGAAAAAAATGCCTTAGAGATGCATTGAGTAGGTTCCATCATCATTTTTAGAACTGTTCCATGTTAGTTCAAAAGTAGCACATTCAGCAAGAAGACATTTTTATTCTAACTGTAGGTAATAGTTTGCACAGTAGAACTTCCATAGACTTTTTCATTTCTGAATTTCTCAAGGCATAGATTAAAGGATTCAAAATGGGAGTGATAACTGTATAAAAAACAGTAATGGATTTATCAATAGGAAAGTTGGAAACAGGTCTAACATACATGAAAATACAGGGAACAAAAAAGAGAACAACCACTGTGATGTGGGAGATGCAGGTGGACAGGGCTTTGTGCCTCCCTTCTTGACTATGAGCCTTGAGAGAGTTTAGAATGATTCCATAAGAAATTATGAGAAGGAAAAATACCACCATACAGATAACTCCACCATTGGCAACGACAGTGATCCCAATTAAATATGTGTCTGTGCATACAAGTACCAATAATGGGTACATGTCACACATGAAGTGATCAATAACGTTGGGGCCACAGAATGGAAGGTTGTAAACAAAAAGAAATTGAACCACAGAATGTGCAAAGCCTCCAGCCCAAGCCACCAACAAGAGAAGAATGCAAACCTGTCGATTCATGATGGTCAAATAGTGCAGTGGCTTACAGATAGCCACATAGCGATCATAGGCCATCACCACCAGAAGGAAGACCTCAGCACCACCAAATAAGTGTCCCACAAAGAGCTGAGCCATGCAAGCTGTGAAAGAGATAGTCTTCTTATCACATAGCAAGTCCATAATCAGCTTAGGTGATATGGTAGTAGAATACACGGCATCCATGAGTGACAGGCAGGCAAGGAAGAAGTACATTGGAGATCCCAAGGAGGGGGTGACAATGACTGTCACCACAATGAGTGTGTTGCCCAGCATTGTCACAATGTACATGAGTAAGAACATGACAAATAATGCTTTTTGCCCTGCAGGATCCTGAGTGAGGCCCAGGAGGACAAATTCTGTGATATTGATGTTGTTTCCCGTGGACTTTTTCATAAGGCTGGTTTCAGAGATGAGTGCTCAGGTGACCGGGGTCTACCATGAAATTGTTAACATGGCAGTGAATTCATTACCATATTAAGTACATTCATCATTATCTTCTACAGTTGTGACCTGTATTAGACATCCATAGTGCAGTTTTCATGTTCTCTTCCAAGGAATTCTACAAACTCTCATCATATTTTTCCCTTCAAATGTTGGGTCAAGCCTACAATCCGAAGTTCTCTCCCATGTCCTCAGTGGATGTTTTGGGTAGGGGTCTGTCAGTTTTGTCTGTGTATTTAAAAGCTCATATCCTCAAATGCTAAACTCTATGCAGCTTTCTTTTTTCTCAATTTTGTTAATTTATGACAAGATCTTCATCGTATATTACCATCTACTGATTTCGTATTTGCACACTTCTTATTTTACCTTCAAATGAATCATTAGAAGGGATGTTAAGAGTACTGATAAACAGCATAATGGAATACTTGTAGTAGGAAATTGAAGAACATGTTAACTGGCAGAAAGGAAGGGAGCTGGTAAGAGTCATATGAGGCACAAGAGAGGTCAGTGGAGAAGGGTGACAATGAAAGAAAATAGAGGCACATGCATATGAGTGTGACAAGATGAAACCCATTATTCTACATGCTGTCTTTATACCACAGTTATTAATACCCTGAAACTTCTTATTGAAAATACGTTCATTTGTTGGAACTGCTGGCAATAACTATATATAGTGAAGGTAGTCTTTCTTTCGAGAAATTTGCTACTTAGAGTCAATAAACTGACACATCAATTAATACAGAGTCATTCTTTGGAAATGGTTGTATTCATTGAGTTTATCTTTGAAATATGATCTTAGTCTTTGGGCACATTTTTATAATGTTGCACTATAAAGTATCAATTTTCATACATGTACAGAAGCTCAATAAAAATGAAAATCAACTTGCATATCACAAAGGACTTTAATTCTTCTTAAATCTGTCATTGAATTGTAAGAGCACTGGCATTAAACTGCATTGTTATTATAAAATATTCAGCACATTTCTGTCTGTAGCAGTTATTTCATCTGACTCTTACTTTGCAGCTTTCTAACAGCCACAATGGTGTCCACTGAATGCACCTTGTCTAGAAGCAAGCAAAGGGATCCTGTTCGCACTGATTTAGCAGTGGTAGCAGAGAAAGACGTGAGGAGCCTCTGAGGCTTACTGAGTAGTGAGCCTTGATGTTCAGTCTGTGTGTTTCATTCCCATTACTGCCAGAATCTGATTCAGGAGATGTTAAAACTGTGCACATGCTGAATAACATAAGTTTAAAAGTTGTCCTGTTCCATTGATGCTTCTGTCATATGTTTCTAAGATGTGTAGTGTTTGTATAGTCTCTTTAACATATGTGTGTTAACATGTGTGTGTGTGTGTAAAAATAGACCCTTTAAAGTATGTGATATACTATATTGTTTATGTGTTGAAAAAGTTTTAAACTATGAAAACTGTAGGTGTCTCCATAGTCTCAGCTGGCCTGAGATCAGGCTGACCTCAACCTCACAAAAATCCATCTACCTCGGCATCCTGAGTGCTGGGATTAAAGGTGTGCACCACCACACCCTGATTGACTATACTTTAACTTATATGACTATACTTTTATGCACAAAAGAATTTACTACAGTTTATTAAAATATTATAGTACTTTAAAATAACTATGAAACTAAGTGACAGTAGATTAGGGGCTCTCTTATGAGTTTATTTATGTACAGGTACTGAGATGTTTGTTGGGTCATTTTAAGAGTCACATATATCAAATTTTGTTAATATAAAAGACACCTATAACTTTGTATTCTAAAATACTTGGCATGTGTACTTTTAAATTTTAATACATTTTAAAAAATATTTTATTTATTATTCTATTTTATGTGTATGAGTGTTATGCCCGCATGTAAGTAAGTGTACCCATGTTGTGCAATGCCTGTGGAGGACAGAAGAGGCTGTCGGATCCCCTGGAACCGGTGTTGCAGACAGTTGTTAGCTGCCATGGTGGGTACTGGGATTCAAACCTGGGTCTTCTGCAAGAACAGTCAGTGTTCTTAACCCCTGAGCCATCTCTCCAGCCCCAATACAAATATTTTAAAGAATTATATTTCTTTCTTAGCTCATGATATGAAATAAAATTCCAGAACACAAAATAGATCAACTGGATTTTATCATTGCACATGTAAATAATAATACATGTTGAGTAATGTGAAAAATAATAGAAATTAGGCTATAAAATTAAACCAAATATGGTATGCATATTTCAATAATGAGCTTCAGCACTTTTCAATTTTAATTTTACCAGTAAAAATAGATCCTGCCTATGAAACTACACATCCTTCAAGGCATTGACTATAGTTTAGTATATCACAATACTCACCAATGAAGACCCTGCCTATAAGACTACACATCCTTCAAGGTATTAGCTATAATTTAGTATATTATAATATTCATCAATGAAGACCCTGCCTATGAGACTACAAATCTTTTAAGATATTAACTATAGTTTAGCATATCACATTACTCACCAATTCTACATAGTCTGTTACTCAATAACTCACCTTAGTATTTGACTTGTGAAGAAAAAATAATTATTGTCTCTTTTATTGATGGTTACCACAATATATAAAGGTGAAAGTATACTTATGAAGACAGATACAGAGACACTTACTGTACAAAGAAAATTGACCATCATTATCTTCTCTAAAAGTATCTTCATAGAAAAATTTGAAAAAACATTTTCACACAACAATGTATAAAAGTTATCCCCAATTGCTTCTTGGCCTTTCAGCTAAGATCAAGTGTTAAATTTATCCCATTAGTGGAAATTAACTTGTCCAAGTCTGTTTCTGATGGCACAAATAAAGAAAAATAAACCGTAAAATTAAATTTTTTCTTCATTGACTTAAGGATGAGAAATCAAGGATTTTGTTTTCAAGATTCACATCTGTGTGCTTAACTATTAAGATAACAATGGGAAAAGAACTGAGATGGTTTCTCATACATATTGCAGAACTCTAAAATCTTCAACTCATTCAGACTCTTCCAAAGCCCTTTCTTAACTGTAAGCACTCCCCTACACCTTCTAATCCTCAAGGCAAAACTTGTCTACTTCTGTAAGTAGTGACAGATAAGAGAACTTGACAACTTGAGGATTAAATACCATCTATGTTATCTACCAGCTTGGATACAAGTAAATTCTCAGAAATCTCCTGCGACATTGTAACAAGGAAATAATTCTCACTTTATGTGCAGAACATTTTACATGGGCAGAAGACAATTCCTTTCATCACTATTTCCATTGGAAGGGACTGTAAAGTCATTATAGACTGGGTTGTTAGAATACTTGGCACAAATTCATATAAGTCTCTCCAGGACAGGTTTCTTCCCCTTAAATAATCCCTATAGGAGGAAAACTTGGACAGTATAAAGAAATAAGTGTTAACTGCAACTTAAATAAAAATTTATCAAATGAAAATAATTTTTTTCAAAATTAGATGATTAATAAACTGTTGCACATTATGGAATAATTTGATATGTTATGTAGCATTTATCTTAAAAAGGAAGCAGTCCCTGTTCCCTTACCTAAGAGTCCTAGTTCCTTACCCAATAGCTCCAGTCCCTCTACCCAACAGCGAGAGTCTTTTATACAACAGCCCCAGTCCTCTTAACAAGAATCTTACTCCCCTTACTCAATAGCCCAGTCCCCTTACCCAACAGCCCAGTCACCTTACCCATGAGTTCCCATACCCTTACCCAAGAGCTCCAGTCCCCTTACCTACTCACCCTAGTCCTCTTACCCAACTATACCCCAGAAAACTGCAGCTTTACTCTCATAGTGAGAAACTCTGAAGCTCTCAGGAAAATTTTTTGAGCCTGCAGTCTATGGTAATGGACATTGTAATTATTAAAAGGACAACATATATGGCAGCATATTCACAAAAACTCAATAAAATTTGTCAAAATAAATAAATACATAATAAATAAATAAATCCATTTTTTATTGGAAAAAGAGGCAGCAAAATTCTACAACTTAGACTGGCATGGAGACTTGGGTCTGAATCGCAGATAAATGAGATGGAGCCATAATGACTTCTTTCCACTCACTCTACCCTTTAATCACAGTGCATTATTTTTATATGTGTAGGAGTGCTTTGCCTGCATGTGCATAAGTGCACTTGTGCCATGCAAAGCTGACAGAAGACAGAAAGTGTCAGATCCCCTGGAATTGGAGTTACCAGTGGCTGTTAGTTGCCATGTGGGTGCTGAGAATCAAATTCAGGTACTCGAGAAGAGCAGTCAGTGCTCTTAGCCAGTGAGCCATCTCTCAGTTCCCACAACCATTATTAAATATAAACCTTTATATTTAATAAACATAATTTATATTTAATTTGATCATTAAATATAACCCTTTCTACCAGAAAAAAAGAGTTGCTCTTCCAAAGGGAACAGTGCCTAGGGCTCCACTCATCCTTTCAACTAAATTAACTTGTTATTCAGCTCTACTGAGAATGAATCATCATATTGTTATTTGAAATTTTGACTATGTCATATAGGTCTTATGGACTCTACTAAAAGTTGACCATTTTCTACTTAGCTACTGAATGGATATATCCAATACCTTCCAGTATAATATGTGTCCAATAATTATGCATTTTTACTGGAAAGTGACAAAAGATACATAAGTATATGTTGATCATAAAATATGACAAAATTTTCTGAGTGTTCAATTATCACAGGAAGGTGATAATTATTTAAATTTAGATATTACTCAACATATGCTTTCAATGAATTAAAAAAAGAATCCCATGTGTACCATTTTATTCATTCTGTCGTATATGTTAAGCCTATTGAGTCAAGTTTGCAGATAGAGTAGGGCAGAATATGATTATATGAAATACAAAAATTCAATTAAAAATATTGACAAAAATAAGTTGTTTCTGGGCTGGAGAGATGGCTCAGTAATTGGAGCTTGTAGAGAACCTAGTT